GAAAAAACTCCTTTGCATCCAGTGGGATTTACCTATTAAATGAAATAAAACAAGTAGCTTTTTCTGTTTACATAACTACACCTGCATGCTCTGGTTTGGTTTAGACAAAAAAAACACCCGAACGAAACACAGCACTGCTGTACTCTCCTGTCACCTGGGATTGACTGTGATTTCTCTTAAGATATTGCATGCGCATCAAGGGACAGAAAACAAGAGGAGCCAGAATCTGTTTACATATCTAAAAATGCAAGAGCTGTGTGCAATCCTGACCTCATAACCTCTGTCAACCCCCAAACTACCTGTAGTCTATGCAACCACCCCAAGGAGCAGTGACCAGGGTCATTGCCTCTGGATGTATCTGCAACCCAGGTGCTACAGATACTGAAGGGAAAAACTGCTTTCACTTCTGAGAGCCAAAAAGGACCATGGAGAAGACTCAAGTAAAAGGATATGTCTTTGGGTGCTTGGTATTACAACAAGCAGCAGAGAATCCCACAGTTAACATTTCTCTGACTGCAATTCATTTCAGCTCACACTTGCCACAATGCCCAAGGGTTCTGAGAAAGGCCTCGGACTGCACAGCTTTGGATATTTACATGCAAGTTGTTAGGGACGTTTACTGAAAATCAGATAGCTCAGTTTCAGCCCTTATAGTGAAGTTGAGGTTTACTTTATCTGTTTTTTAACTTTTCTTAACCAAAACAGTCAGAAAAAGTAACAATTCTCATTTGTGTTTGATCTGCTTTAAGTCACACACCAACAAAGAGACAAATTAATGCTTGTGGTGAAGCATGGAAACCTCCAATCACATAAGGCACTTCTGATTATAAAAAGGGTACAAGGGGAGATACAGAAGTAACACCTTGTTACCTATCTTGGTGCAAAGCAGGGAAAAAAATATCAGAAAAAGGAATACAAAGGGGAGAGGGGGAAAAAAGCACAATCTCCCTTCCACTCAGTAAATGAGAAATATACTTGAGGTTGGTAGAAAGATAACAACAGATTAATATTAAATACTGTGTATTCCTTATGTAAGGCCAAGAGCGCTATATATTTGTCTTTAAAGATTTTCATTTCAAAAGGATGCTGGATTGAAACAATATATTTATTTCTACCCTACAGGGTTCACCTGTCTGACAACTCCTGCCAGTAGAAGAGCTCAGTTGCCATGGAGAGAAGTTAGTGAAAAATTACTTACTAGAATGCACTTTTTATATTTGTCATCCAAACTTCTTCGTAGGTATTTAGTCATTACATATACTATATAACAACCATGTTTTAATGGGTGACCATTCATAAATGTTTACTGAGGGGAACAGAGCTCAAATGACAGCAATCCCAGTTTGAACACAAAGATCTTTGTGTGTACCCTGTGCTTCAAGGATAATACAGTGTTACCAAAAAGACTTAACACATCTGGGCCTCTTCATTGTTGCTTCTTTTTGTCATTTTCGTAGTTTAAATTGGCTGTTTCCCTATTTGCTTCCTGGTTCACAGGCAGGAGAGTCCAGTGAGGCCTCATTACATGAGGTAAAAAGAGCTATGCCCTAACATTCACAAAATTGCCAGGAAAACAAAGCCAAACCTTCAGTGAGCATCAAGGGCTGTACATTCCTCCAGACACTCTGCCCTTAATAATACTTGAGGATTTACAAACATCTCTCTCAAAGGAGCCTCACTGCTTCTTGGTCTTCCTGTCAAGCCAATTCCCTTTCACACATCACAGACCGTGTCAATGGAGGAAATACAAGGGTCTCTGTTGCTGCTGCAGGTCTCCTAAAGACATGGGAAGAGAGAATTGCTTTAAAAGCATCTTTGTTTAGGTGCTAGGGGAAGAGGTAAAACCTGGCACATGAAGACAAGAGGTACATGTAAGCTTCTTCATGTGTGCTATATTTTTAAGACTCACAATAAATTTGGAAAGATGCCTTAAAGAGACTGGGATTACATTTGAAAGTGAAGGTTTTGATTTGGGAAAGAGGGGAAAGAGCTGTTCAGTTTCTTTATGCAAATGCGACGTGAGTCACTGCATGGTTATCCGCTGTGGATTAATTCGCTCTACAGTGGAACTGTGTGTCTGTTTGGGCTGGAAGGCTTAACTTTTCAGTGTTCCCATGAGCAGAAGCTGTCCATAACGTATTCACAGCTGCAGGTGAAACAAGCCTCAGAAATTCAATTAGCCAACACATATGTGGTTGAGGAAATGGCTTTCTTAAGTCATGTCAAGGGAGATGATGGGAAGAACCATATTTGGCACGTGGCTGTTCAGTAAACTGGGGCCAAACAGTTTAAATAAAATGTGTAAAGCCATGCTCCCAGTTGCTGGGAGGAGGAGAGAAGAACAGCAGAATTTCTGCTAGTCTAGACCTATTCACTGTCAGGGTCATTGCAGAGCAGGAGCCTCCCTGCAGCTTCTGTTTCACCAAAAACTAAACAGGACGACCTTTCAGCCGAAGACCCCCAGTCAGCATTCTCAAGATCCTTTCTTTGGATGAAGCTTTCACCTGTGTGCAGCAGCCCTCACGGGATGTTTCCTAAAAGCAAACCAGCCCAGCCCTGCTCCCCAGTCACCATCCCTGAACTGTACATGCAGCACACAGGGCACACAGCCAGGGCTGCAACCTCACTGTTTCTTCCTCCTCCCTCTCCAGGCTTCAGCATTGGAGGGACTGTATTATCAAATAGATGGTGATCATTAAGACCAAACAGAAGTAAGCAAATGTGACAATGAAAAGACTGAAATAAGCAGAAAATGAAGTAATGAATTTTTCACAAGGGCTTACAGAGCCATTATCCAAAATGCCTATGCACAGAAAACTGTCAGGGGCCACAGCCTAGAGATCCCTAGATCAAAGCAGTATCATTCAGCATATCCACAAAAAGGTTCATCTATCTGCTTCAAAATGGACTAGGCATATAATTAAATACAGGGTCCTGGGTTGTGCAAAAACTTTTTTTGTATTATCTTCAATTCCCTTTTTATTCTGTTCTTACTTTGCCACAGATCTAACAGAGGGAGCATGAGTAATGCTACTCATGCACTGACAGCTGTAGGATTTTCATGGGCATTTGGCCTCAGACTCATGTGCTCAATGGAAAGTGAGAAAGAAGTTTCATTCAGCACACAGCATCATAGCTAACATCACCCTAATGAAATTCATGTTAAATCAGAGATACATGAGATGACAGGAGAAGTATGGGAAAAGAGAAACAGACAGTAATGCAGATGAGACAATAAGATAATGCAGATGATGATGCCCTGCACTGGTTCACTTCTCCCCCAGGAGTAAAATATCTGGTCAGGCAAATAAGGAAATGCAGACCTCAGTGAACTTCCTGTTTTGAAGTGTGATGTGCAATGCCAAATGTATTTGGAAGCAAATAAAATCTCTCAGCATGAAAAAAAATTTAACAACTTCTCAACTATGTAGTTTTGATTGTTTCCTCTCATTTTCCGCAAGATATTGCCTACAGCCATTTGTAGCTGATCCACACCCTTTTCTATGAAAAGCAGACTTCACCCACACTCTTCCTTTTCATTACAAAGGTGGCAAAATACAATTCGAAAACTATCTCTGTAGCTCTTCTGGCCCCACTGCTTTAGGTCAGCACTGTGGGATCCCATATCCCATAGGGCATAGCAATAATCTCAGTGCTGAAGGATGAGCAGAGTAAAACCCTGAAAAATACCAGGGAACCAAGTGCCCTTGAGCTCACGGGAGGCCAAGCCACAAGGCAGGCAGGGTCAGTGTGCTGGTCCCTTGGCACAGCTCACACTGGGCTTCAAAGGGCACAGGAAAAAGAGCTGTGTTTGAGGGACAGCATATGTACATCAGCACTGCTCCTTCTCTCCCACTGCTTTACCAGTCAAGGCTTCTGCCTCCATCACACAGGACAAAATCAGAGAGGTGGTCTTGGGGTCAGCAAAAACAAATGGAGTACAATAAGGAATCTTGCTGTATCAAAATAATTATAAAGGAAAGAAGCACCTCTTAACTTTCTGGTTAAGAAGGCATTATAATTCCAGACATCCCTTTCCCCTCATGTTTCCTAATAGTCTCCTAAACAATACACCTGCTCCTAGTGAAACTACAGGACTTCCCAGCAGGGCCCAAAGGTAGGAATGTAGGTGACAGATGCTTTTGGAAATCTTCAGGAAAGCCTTCCCAACCACTCTGTCCACTGTCCTTTTCTTTTTCTCTCAAGTGAAAGCTGCAACAGACTAATCAAATGCAGCTCAACTGTGCCAGTCTCTGCCACTCACTGCACATAACCTCTAATCAACTCAAGGTACAAAAAAAAAAAAAAATAGTACCTTCTCCAAAGTTTTCTTCCCTCTGTCAAGGACATTTAAATAGTACAACAGCAACAGTGATGTGTGTTGAACTGCATCTGTTGATCTGCAAACCCTGTCCTTAGCCTTGCTGTACCAACTGAAATGGTTCAAGCTGGAAAAGAGCAATTCATACTTTCCTGTGGGTCTACAAGTGAAATCTTATGAACTTACTGAGGAGAATCCTGTGGTGTTCACAGTCCCAGGTGACTGCAGACCTTGCTGCACAGTTTGCTGTCCCAATATTCAGTGAGGCTTTGGGGCCTCCACCCACCAGGACTCAGATTGAGTACTGACACTCTGCACGTACTAACTGCATCGCCACTTGACCTTCTCACTGCATCATTTCCCCCTTCTTTTTCAACAAGCCTTAGAGGAAAACAAAAATCATAGTCACAGAAGCAGTCTCTCAAACCATAAAACCTGCTGCAGCCTCACTGAGAAAATGGAAGAATCCACTGAAGAATCATGGAAAGCATTGTGTTTCCACCATCCAAACATCTATCTCACCCAGGTCATCAAAAGCCAACCTCAAAATGCACCTTCTAAACAGGGTCGTGCACATACAGCTGTCATTGCTTCTGGCAGTTGCTGCTGTTCGATGACCTGTTCTCCCAGAGCTGAAGTTATCCTGCTGGCAACAGAGACTCCCAACAACTGCACTTACCTCTACAGGCTTTGAAGGGGTCTCCAATTTGGATAGTTCAGTTTTGGCTTTTGCCTTCAAATCTAAGATATCTTCATTGGGTTCTTCCTTGCGCTCAGAAGGGGTTTCCAATTTGGATAATTCAGCTTTGACTTTTGCCTTCAAATCCAAGAGATCTTCATTAGGTCCTTCGTGATATTCCTCCATGAGAGGTTTGAGCTCCAGGGATTCAAATGGTGCCTGATCTTGGCCATCCATGGGTCTGACATAGGCAGTTGGTTTCTGCTGCATTGCACTGGCTTTTGATGTCAAAGATGGGGGAAAAGTCTGAGAGGAAGGCTGAGCAGTGCTGGTCAAGGTAATGGCTGAGCTGTCCCAACTTTCCTTCTCCTGTGATCCTGTTACTAGGTCCTGAGATGATTTTGTTTGACTGTAAGTCGGCCCATGACTTTTGCTGCTCTTCTGCGACCTGGAATTGATATGCTGGCTGGAATGTAGAGGTGACAGGGGTGCCACTGGAGAAGACAACAAACATGGCAGTAATGGGGAAAGTGGCAAAGGGGAGGCCTGCAGTTCATGAGCACGACCTTCACCATCCCCAGGCTTGTCATTCTGACTGTGCTGAAAACCTGCCTGACTTTCCCGGTCACCACGACTGCGTCCTTGACCTTGGCTCCCACTGTTGGATAAGCTGCGACTCTTGGTGTGCAAACCTGAAGCTGGTTCTGTTCCTGATTGTGCCTTTTGGTAGTGAATGGAGTGGCTTGGAGGTCGAGGTGCTACAACCATAGGTCCCACGGGTGGACGGCGGGGCGGGTGCTGGAATGGAGATGGTAATGTATGGTTGGTCTTTCCAGGAAAGTATGGGCAATCAGGCTGTCCTGGTGGGATCAGAGGAACAACGCTTTTCGGAATTCCTATGAGATTCTGACAGGATTTGTTGCTCATGAACTCCTTGACCTCCTCATAATTGCCCAGCATGTTCTGAATTCGGCTTGACAACTCATCTTCTTTATTAGTCTGCAACAGAAGAACAAAAGAGGTGGAAATTTCAAAAACACCCCAAGAGATCCAGCTCAAGAAGAGACAGTTCTTCAGGATCTTAACTTAATCACCACACATTACCACGAGTGAAGTTAGGCAAGCTTATCTTGATCCTGTAAGTCTCTCCAAAGCAAATGGGACTCCTGTAGCCACTATCAATTATTCCAAGCCAAGCTTGCAGGTGCACCTGCAGCCTTCAGGAACAATAACATCAGATCCCTTTTTTTATAAGCACATCTGAAGACAGACAGGCAGCCAAGCTGCTCCTGAGCACTCTCCGTCAAAGGAGGCCAACCCCAAGTCCATCGTGCCCTTGCACAGCCAGCAGAGCTTTAAGCACATCCTCTAAGGAACTGAAGTTCTGCAGATGGGAAGATGCTGTGTTTGCCTGTACCATGCTCAAGTCTGCTACACCCCATGCAGAAGACACAGCTCTCCTCTTCCCCCCCAGCCCTTCTTCCTGCTCTCCTTCCACCCCATGCCCCCCTACTATTACCTTGTACGGTTCTGCAAAGAGGGGAGTCTTTTTTGAGAACTGGTCTTTCTTCTCTAGAACCTCCTGACTCCGTCTCTCTCTCTCTCGAATACGCAGCAAGTTTCTGTCCTCGTTGCACAAGCTTTAGGAAGGAGAGAAAGAAAGGAGAGAAAGAAAGGATGACTAACACTGTACACCAGTGTTATCAACAAGTGCCTACTTTGTGCAGAAACCCTGGTTTTCAGACAACAGTATATGTCCAGAATTAAAGTAATTTTGTAATTCACAGAGTGGTTACAGCTGACAAATCAGTTAGGTCAAGTATTTGCTGCACAACATAGTAATGTGACACACAAGGTACAGCATTCATTTTCTCAGTGATTTCTTCTCTTGATAGCATCCTTTGAGAAGAAAAACTATCTACTCATTTATTTGTGAAACAAATTGAGTCAATGGGCATGATAAGCACATGAGCTGGCAGATCCGCTTGCAATGATTGATGTGAAAAACCACCATTCCTGTTTTCCTTCAGACTTTTACCCCAATTCATCATCCAAGAGTAAAAGAGAATCCACTATTTTGAAGGTGTTGCCACTTTCAAAGATTGATCTTTGCCTACTTGGCAAAAAACAAGGCAATAGAACCTGGCAATGTACAGGCTCGAAAACTCACTCTCCACTTCACATGGACATCTGGAAAGCTGCTTACCTGGAAAGCCATGTACTTGCATTTAAAGCAACCACGTAAACTTATTTAGAAAAAAGGTATCAGAAATTCAGAAAACACAAGGTCAAATCCCCCTGTTCCTTCTCAGCCACATCTGCACGCACTCAATTCCACCAGCCCCACAGCAAAACACCAATAAAGCCACGTCACGTGCGCAGCAGAATGACTTCATGGAAAACCAGATCCTTTCAACTACACCTTGTCTTTAAAATACTACTGCAAACCACAGGAATCTCTTGCTCTAATCTTTATAGACACTGGGGAAGAAAAAGCACACACGCATAGTGGATGCAGGTATCTCTCTCGTCTCCTATGTCTACTCCTCTGCACAGTCTACTATATACACACAATTCCAATATTATTCTTCATACACTCATCTTCTCAAGTGCCTGAGTTTGCAAGTGAAGAGCCTTGTCTTCCCCACCAGTGACATTTTGCCAAATACTACACCAATAATCAGCTCCTGAAAATTTGATCATCCCTAAAGGAAAGGCAGAGGACTGGCTTTGCTGTAGCAGTTAACCAAGAGGTCTGACTGCTACAGAGGGGTTTTCCCCGATCAATGGGATCTCTGGAAATGCTGTCTGATGGTAAATTTCTATATATGGAACTGCAGCCAGGATGTACTTGTATCACTAAAACAGAAAAACATATTCAGGGGTTAGATTGTTCACATTTAACATAGTTTCCAACTTTGCTAATGCTGAACTGTTTCCAAATATAGCAAAACAGAAGTGTACAGTAAGATCTATGTACCCACTTCTGCAAACAATGCAAACAATTTAAAAAATTTACAATAAAAACAAAACATAACAAAAAAAAGAGGAACAAACAAAAAAAATCCCAAACAGGAATCACAGACCATTGCTTCAGTCAATATACATAATCCTTCTGTTACAAAGTATGGAATAGAAGCATTTCCCCTCTGCATCTGATGTCATTTTGCATGTGAGCAATTTCCTATCTATAAGCAGTTAGTTGGTCGGTTGCCCTGTGTGTGCCAGGAAAGCTTTGTGCAGTCAGGTGTGGGAGATGCCAACCACAGAAGACAAAACTTAGGAGGAATTATAAGGCAAACTAGAAGCAATCTTGGCTGTATCTACTACTGTATGCTTGCAAAAGATTTTTTAAGTGAATGCATTTTTTTAAGTGAAAGCCAGGCCACATATTACGACCCTGAAAATTGCCTTCTACTTGAAAAGTGTCCTACGTCCATGTGGATTATGGATGTCCTTCTATTTCTAGGCTGGCAAGCATCCAAATTCAGAGCAATCAAGCTGTTTTGCTCAGGGGTTCTGATCACATTCAAACAAAAGGAAAATCGTAAACCACTTGAGCTTCTTGCAATGATAATATTTACAGTGAGAAGTAGCCATGTTTCCTATATGTACCCCAACACTGAATGTAAAACAACTTGCATGCCTCTTGCTGCAAAAACAGCAGCTGTAATACCTCTAAAGGCCTTTTCTTTCCCTGAACCTTCCTTGACCCCAAGCTGTCTTCCCAGCAATAAATTCTTTCTAAAGAGTGTGCGAAGGGAGAGAGAGGGGAGGGACAGAGGCAAGGGGAAGGGACACCGCTTTTTTTTGTCATAACGCCAGTTCCTGCAGGTTTAAGTGAAGACAAAGGTGCCTGTTCCAGAGCAGCCTGGCGGACTTGGGTGCTCACACATGCACAGGACTACAGGGCACTGCTTGGCAAGGTTAGTCATGCCTTGGTACCACTGTAGACCACCTCATGCCCTCACGGTGACTAGTGGCCCAGGCTGCTGGCCATGCACAGCTGGCTGCCCGTGCAGCCAGGAGAGGGGTCATTCCCCTCCCCTTTCCTGTTCAGGTTCATCATCCACCCTCTGCCTCCCTGTCTGAATTGTATCAAAGCTATTTTTGTTCCATAGTTTCCTCCAGCTTCATTGAACAGAAGGAGCTGCAGTTTTAAAAGCAGAAGGATAAGGGAAGAAACACTGAGTAGCTACTTACTTGATCATGCAGTTGAGATCAGCAGCCCTCCCTCCTTTAATTTACAGACAAGACCTTAAACTACCTGAAAACAAGAGCTAAAACTCATTTCATTTTGTCATGTAGGTGCCATGTTTCCACGCATGCTCTCTCATCTCATACTTCAGGGGCTTTTATTTTTAAAAAAAATAGGTTGTATTGCACTAGATGGCATTCCAAATTCAAAGCAGAAGAGCCTGCTGTCTACTCAAATGCCCACTTCTTTAATATAAGTCTGTCGATATCCTACTCGTGGATATCGACACCGTGGAAACACCATTCCTGCCCACCATTAACCCAGACATTGAGGGCATTTGTCAACATGCTCTGCAAAGATTTTGAAATCCTGGGCTACAGTGCAACTCATAACACTGAACAGCTACCCTAAGGTCAGTGTTAGGAAGCCAGGCAGAAAGTCTTGGAGAACCACGGTCAGCTCAGGCCCTGTGCCAAGAGGAGAGGAGGTCTCCATGACCAGCCAGGCGCCAGCAGAGGAAACCTGTGCAGAGACACCGCCTGTTCGGCTCCAGCAAGCCATCCCTTGCGCAGGCACAGACAGAGCCCCAGCCCCCCTACTGCCAAAGCTGCAGGGCAAACCCCAGCTCCTGTTCTTCAGGAACCTCTCCAGACTAGCCACTTTGATATTTAGGCTTTCCTAGAATGGGATCTCAAAAAACCTCAAAACCTCATAACCAAAACCACACCCAAACTCTTACTTACTGATTTGCAAAAATGCCTTGGGAAACCAGACCTTGAGGCTTAGCACCAACACACAAAGCACACTGGAGCCTGGGAGCTAGGGGACACATGCACAAATCTCCTCTACACAAAAAAAACCCCAGATCGTGCCTTGCTACAGACTGAAACAGTAAAATACTCCTAGGCTGTAATAAAGAAATTTGGTTCAGAAAGTTCAGCAAAGCATGCACCCTGACCCACATCATCATCCAGACTTGGGTCTGTAACAGAAGCCATTAGAATATCAGCGTGCTCTGAAACCACTCTCAGTGACATGCCAACCCTTACTACAGAGTTTCAAATGCTGCTATGTGACAATCCAGCCCATGACAACATTTTCAAAAAATAGACTGGTGCAGGAAGAAATTCTGCCTCTCCTGTCCTGTGTGTTCTCCAGATGAAAACAAAATGAAAATAAAAATCTGCTTTAATTGTAAAGATCTAGTGCTGCCAAAAGGAATTATCCAGGAGCAGGGAAGGGGGGTGGAAAAAGGCTACAAAGCAAATACACAAACACACTCACTTCCTTCTCAACGCACAGAACCTTTTCCTCTGAAACACAGAGACAACACTTGAGTACAACTGCAGGAAATCACAAATTTATTGAAACTGTTTGGTCATTAAAATTGATTCATTTTTTATCATGAGAAACTGCTGATCCACAATTCTCATGACTGAGAGACGCATTCTTGTTTAAGGCAAGACACACTGTCCCCAAAACCAGTTAAACAGAAATCACATGGATGCACCATAACAGCCTCGCCACAGCATCCCAGTTCTGCTGCTCTTAAAGTCTCCATAGAAGAATGGTCACCAATTTATGCAGCCTACAAATCTACAAAGATTAAATTTTCAGCCTATCAGCTTGCAAAGAAGCATGGATAATGGCATGGCACAGAAAGTTACTGAGCATCACAACTGTGCTCAGCTCTCATGCTGCATCACCTGAGCAGTGAGCCTGACAGTGACTAAGAGAAGCAGATGAAAGGACAACATTACAGTTAATACCAAACAGCATAAAAAAATGTCCCAACCTTTGCTTCCTTTCCTTTATGGAAACATTGTAAAGTTGTGACTTGCTAAATTTTTAAAATTTGTTTCACATCAAACACTATTTCGCAGAAGATACACAGATTGAACATACACAAATGATGAGATAAAAACATAGGGCAGAAGTGCAACAGATGGTACAGTTAGTCAATTATTTTCTGCATCATCATCGATCAGCCTTGGTAGATGCTTCCCAAAAATAAACATCTTTACACTGAAGAAATATGAATTGAATTTGCTTGCCAAGATTTTGCTTCCTCTAGCTCCTTTAACTCATTGAGTCTATCCAGCCCTAATTATTGACTGTATGAGAGCAGTATTAGACCCACTGAGCAAGAGATCAAGGCCTCACAGCCCACCTGTTTATCCACAATGATTGTAAAAAACCTCCAGTCAAATATTTTTCATCACAAATAATGTTCCAAGAAAAATGCAGCACTGCTGCAACCTTTCCTTCAAAGCATATGGAAAAATGATCCTGAATACACCTCTTCCTATGTTTTAAATACACAGACCTCTAGGTTACACCAAAAAATTGAAGTAGAGAAGGCTAGGATGATACAACAGGCAGAAGGGAATTGCCAGTTTGCTTAAATAGAAGCTAAGTTACCTTTTGCCAAAAAAAAAAAAA